TGATAAATTAAGAGGTTAATTGATGAGGTTAATAATGTCAAATGGACACGTCGAATTTCTTTGACTCTTATCTTTATCTATATAAAATTGTCATTAATAATTCGATCATTTTATAGATTGTTTTTAATTGATTTGAAAATATTGAAAGTAAAACATAATGGAATAATCCGCGCGTTATCTAAATCCGTCATATTTATTCAATCTGAAAATGTTAAATTCAAAAAAATTCGATGAATATGCGAGAAAATTCATTTGAGATTCGGTTTTCTTTGGAACAGAAAATTGGAGCACGAATAGAATAGAATAGGAGTTAAAAAAAATTTGTAATTGATATCAAACTGTTTATCGCGAGCGTAAAGCTATTCCCATGATATTAAGCGAATCTTTCAATCCACCAAGAGCTGTATCTCTAGAGGATGCTTCCAATGGCTCCTCTTTTGATTTGACCCATTTTATCCGATTCGATCGAGCCCTATCGCTATTCGACGATATTCCACGTCGTAAAATATTTTTCGAACGCGTTTATAAAAATGTTTATGGCTCTCTTTGTTGACAATTGAAGCACGGATGATCACGTATCAATATATACATTTTGAATTTCTTGCTATTCACGTATTTAAGTTATACATCTAAGTCTGTCAATCATATATTCACTATTTCACAATCGTGAATCGCATCTCACTATTTTTATCTGCTTTCCATAAAACAAAAATATTCAAGATCGACTATTTTGGACTTTGGAAAAGTTATTACGATTCGGATTGGTTATTTACGAGACATTAAACGATGCATTCGAGAAACGTATGAGTTAAAAATAAACGTAGCTATTCTTTGAGACTTTTCTATCGTTTCGACCTACATATATCTTTCCGCCCGAGCGAATAAGCCAGCCTCGAGTTATTTATGCGCATCGTACCATCTTTTTTTTTTAAACCTACGAAGAATAAGTCTCCCTTGGGCTAGTTCCTCAGACCCGTAGAAGAGGACCAACCAACCCCTCGCAGTCGATTCGTCCTTGCTGGTTCTGTGGTTGGCCACAAAGGGGTAAGCCGTGCAAACAAACGAATCCACGGTAAACACCGATCCTAAAATAAAACCGTGACGCTCGTTTCCTTGGGTAGCCTTCAAAGGATTTGCATAGAACGGAAGCTGAGGTTAAGCCGGGCAAACTATATCTTCTGTCGATTCCCTACCACCGGTTTGCTTTTATCGTTTTCCATCGACTTTCCATCGGCAAGAATTTTTATTATTATTACTCCTCCGCGCCGATCCTATAAACCGTTGTGTTGGCTATGCTGCCTTAATGTTGCCATTACACGTGGAACTAAAGTCATTACGCGGTCGACTCCGAGACTCACGGTGATTATTTCGTCGTCTCGTTTCACGTGGAGATGCAAACCGAGACGAATTTTTCGTAGCAAAGTAATCGAATTTCGTCTCTGGCATTCGTTGATTGTTCGCTTTTTTTTCCTCTCTCGACTGTGTCTTCTTTCTTTCGCGAGTTTCTTTTGAAAAATCTCTCGAATACAACCGGGGGAACGAGTTGTTTCAGATGATAACGTTAAGAGTCGTCCACCGCGTAACGCTTTTGTTATAAATTTCTGCTTCGAACGAATTCTAGAATCGCGGCCAAGTTTTCTGGAAGTACGGTATAATGTAAAGCACGCGGACTGTGTGCTACTTTATTAGCTCGAATTTTTGATGTCAAGTATCGAACAACATCATCGATCCACTTGCTGACTTAATCGTATATTTATAATTTAATTTTCCTCGATATTTTGTACGCTTCTTGTTAATACGTTACGTTTGTACATAAATTTTCACATTTTCAAAAATCTTCAACTTAGAATATATAGAACAAGAAATATAAGTTCTCGATATAAAGAAACGAGTAGATCAGTGGAAATGGATAATCGTTATCATTCACCAACCTTTCTCCTAAAAAATCTTTTCCCTAAAAAATTGTACTCGATTCCATTCGAGATCCGTCCCCCGGAAATCACGATTTTCTTTAAGCCAATCTTTCCCAAAAATATTCTTGTTTCGCGCGAAAAGAAAAAATATCATAGATAGAAGGTAAAAGGACGATTTAACCGGACAATCATACGCGTTTGTATACACATATTTATCCCCTCGACGCAGGAGATAGAAGTTGAGGGGCAGTCGGATAAAAAAAACAACACGATCTGTGTGGAAGCTGGACTACAGACGGTGCACGATTCCATTTTCCCTGGCTAGATCGAGATCGTAACGAGAGGCTTACTTTGTCTTATCCGCTTTTCTCCCTCTGTGATCCCCTTTGACCCGGAAACCTACATGTTCTTTCCTTCTCGGTTTCCTCTCTCTCTTTTTCTCTTTCCCACTCATTGTTGAATCAACCCCGAGCATATTAAATTTCTAGGAGGATATTTTCGCGGCGTTTCCTGGATTTTTATGCTATCGGATGAATCCGGCCGGCGCACGGTTTTCCACCGTTGACTAAACGACCTAATCCCTCTTCTCTTCTCCCCGATTTCCAGTCATCCAGTTAGATAGAACTCGTAGGGGAATATACCGCCTCGGGGCTAAATTTGTCATACCCGCGGAACGATTCGACATTCGGGAAAACTGTTTCGCAAAACGACCACGTTTTGTGCGCGTTCTTGGATTATCTCGAGGGGTGACTTTTGAAAGAGGGAGGTTTTTATCGGGGTTGTTGTTGGATAGAAGTTGGGTAGAAGCTGATAAATTAAAAGATCGGTTGCATTAACCGTATTTAATCTCATTAGCAAAGATAGCGGAGAAAGTTTTTTGATAAAATAAAGCAAGGTTAAAGTAAAAATAATAAAAAATCACGAGAATAATAAATTCTTGCGAATAAATTTCCAACTTTTTTTAATTAATGAATAATGTACAATAGCTTTACTTTCTAATGAAGCTCTTTTATTATGTTTTAAATTTCATTTTCGTATTATTAAAATTGTATAATTATATGAGCGTACAATCAAAATTACGTATTATAGATAAGTAATATATCTATAATTTTTTAATCGACAAATCATACATAGAATATTTAATATATTGGTACACTTTTGATGGATCGATTTTAATACTTGGAACACAGTATAATGTCTCATTATATATACTTATTAATATGTCGCTTTGTCTAATTTTAATTGCTTATAACTTAATAATAAATAATCCTGAACAGACATTTCTGTATACTATTTTTATATATCTTTTATCGTTCGTTTTTCAACAATCGACCCTTGAAATATGCGGTGCCACCCTACCATGTATAAGAGGACAGCGATTCATCGCGCTAGTACCACGTCAAAGAAGAGCGTGTCATCAAAGAATACTTCATCGCGCGTTCAAGCGTCGGTAAATCGCTATTAAATGTTTCACCCGCGATGAAAAGATGCAACGATCGCCCTCCTTCAGGGCTGAAATTTTGAAACGCGCCGCGTACCCTCTGTTTTCCTAGTGTCAGGTAAATTTACTCGCGCTTATTCCCGGGCGGATTAGCGTGCCGTGAAGAAGCACGCTCGCCGCGACTTAATTCGGGCCGTGCCAATTCGGAGCTTGTACGAATCCGCGAACTCTGCCTCGTTTTTTCACTTGCACCGGTTTTCAAGTTTTATTTGTCTTCGCGATGCTCGAGAGAAGTTGCTCGATCCGTGTTCGTATTCGAAACGAAATCGAGATCAAAGCATGCGTGACGAGTCGAGAATTTTGGAACTTTGTCGTGCGTTTTTTTTCTATTCGTTAAGAAAAAGAATCTCAACGGAAGAATGCCAATTTTATTTTATAATTTCTTCTCTTTAATTTCGACAAAATTATTAAGATATCTTTAAAACGCTTATCCAATAAAAATTAGTCTAGGAAATTCGATTTTTAAACGTTTATTATTACACAGTGGACGAGTAAGCGACAAAGTAATAATTAAAATCATCGAGAACAGTTTGGAAAATAGAGAAACACGCGTGGAGAAAGGGCAAACGCGTCGTTTCAATTTCGTTTCTGTGTGTCGATAAGCATAACTGAAGCCGCGGTTCGCACGAGAGCGCGATTTTTCGCGTCGAATTTACAGACTCAATTTAGGAGGGTCCGTGTGTCCAATTGAATCCTAATGTTGACCGTGCCGGCGGAAAATCAATTAGGACCCGGCGAAACGCGCGACGAACGCGCGTGGTTAATGAAATTAAACGACGCCTGAGGTAATTGCAGCTTGGTAGCCGGCCTTTGCCGCGAACGTATCACATTGTACGCGATATTTGATTTTATTTCGGTTCTCGAATCGATCGAAAGCGTTCAATTCGATTTTTGAACAGGAGTCCCTGTTTAAGGAAATGGAACGGTGTGAACGAACGAATGGAAAGATGTAAAAGAACGGGGAGGAATTTGATGCAGCTTCGTTTCGCGAGCTCTAGAGAGGTATCTTCTCCAAGTAACGTTTTAAAGGAGAAGAGTCGTCTGTCGAGATTAGCGCAATTTCTTTCAACGTGTCGATTACTTTTTGAAAAGCGAACGAGACACTTTGAGTCGGCAGCCTTTTCACCGTCAAGCCTGTCTTCTTTTTTCCTTTCCTCTCTTTTCTTTTTCTCTTCTCTCGTTTCTCTCTTCTTTTCTCCCTCTATTCTCCTTCTTTTTTCAATCTCTGGGTATAAGAAGTTCCTCCAGTGATCTCGCGCATCGTCTTGTTCGGCTAGTGCTCACTCTTTTGATATCGCGACAGGTACGTCTCGATTCTTTGATTACTTCATCGTTGAACCATCGTCTTAAAAGATCGAGCGAATTACACGGGGATAGGATTACGTTTTTGACTTTAACTTTTCGATTATTAAAGTTAACGGAGAAATGAATTAAACTTTCGTGTAAATAATTTAATCCTCTTAGTTCGAATTTATCGCTCGCCGAACGTGTATTTTATTTCATCGTTTAACATCGTTTCTTTGTTCGTACTGTATACGAATATTTTTAATGCTCGCGAATCGAATGTAAAAATTGATAACGAATAGAATTGATAATATGTATGGATACGAATATTTTATGCCTCGAAATACGTGGAAGTTGATGGTCCATCCAAGCATCCTGTGGCCTAGAACCCTCTCTGAAAAGGTACTCCTTTTTCTTCTCTCCTCTTTCTTTGGTTCCCTTCATTCTGCTCGGCTCATCTTTTCTTCATTGACCACTTCCGCGTCACCTTTGTCCTCTTCATCCCCGGCGGAGCTCTCAAATAACACGGTCCTCCCTGCAATTATCCTCCGGGCAGTTTTCTGCTTAAACGCCTCCTACGAAAAACGAAAAAAAAAAAAAAGAATGGTGGAAGAAGGTGAAACAAAAATGTCGGAGGCGTGTATCCTAAAGATGATCCTTCACGTATCTCTTTCTTTCTAAACTCATTCTATTATATTATCCTCTTCGTTATATCTTCTATAACTGTTGCCGAACAAAATATTCTCGCTTTGTCGCATCTTGCGTCGCATTTTATGCTTCGTTGAATTTACAGAGATATTCTATTCTATTATTTTGTAGCAATGTAAAAGCGTACAAATTTACAAATACCATTTTACCGCTGCAAATGCTAAAAGCATCTTTATATCCCATCTACAATTCTCTGTCGTAACAAATAAATTCTCTTACAAAAAAAAAAAAAAAGAAAAAAAAAAAGCTACATCTCGTTTATTCCCCGTTCTCCAAAGAAATTAAACACTTCCACTAAAGCCAAACTTTAACCACTCGCAATCAGAATAGACGGTCCCCCTCTATTTACCCCGAAAGAACAATCAAACGGATCTTCTGGCAAAGTGTAGAATCGGCTTCAACAACATCCATTCGCCATCCCATACCTCACCACTTCCCCACATCGACATAAAGGACAAGCGTTTATTCTCGTCAATTTTCGGTCGGCTATTCGAAGGGCGGGAGACGACACGAGAGATATCCAACGTCCTTGCTCTTTGGGGTCACGAGCGTCTCCTCTCTCTTTTTCTCCCCGCTTCTCTCCCTTCGTCCTCGTCGAGTTGGTTGGTAATTGAGCGGGCAATCTTAACGCTCGAACGAGCTGGAATGGGCCCTCGCCCTCTGGAAGCGTGTGCCGAGTGTTTCACGAGTCTCGACGAACCAACGATTCGTATTTTGCCATCTCTGCGCGGATTTCGGCTTTGTCGGGCCTCCGTCGCGATCCTTTCACGCCTTTGTTCCGTCCCGCAGCCGAGATTTACACCGCGAGGAGATACTTACGCGCTTGTTACGTCCATATGTTTTCCTTCAATGGAATCTCGACTCGAATTGGTTTAGCTGTTCTTTCAAGATTTCGTCCCAAGTATAAATAAGATTTATTTTTGAAGTTGTATTTAAATTTTCAAATATGGGTCAAAAGACGTGGCGCATTCTGCGGAACGCTAAATGAATTCTTTGGATTTATTTATGCGATAAATTTGTTATGGATCTTTCGACTATATCTGAATTGAAGAAATTCCACGATAATTTCATAATCGTAGTTAATTAATTTCAAAAGTTTATTAAATTAAAGTTCTTTCGATATTCTTTAAAGATTGTATTACAAAAAAAAAAAAAGAAGAAAAAGAAGAAAAAAGATCTTGCTTCTCCCAAAGAAAATCTTTCTCTAAACGATTTATCCCTGAACGATTCGAGGAATTGTTGCATTTTCAGTCAAGGAGGAGACCCTTTCGATAAGCCCGTAGGACAAAGGTTGAGGCGAAACGACTCACCGATACAAATTTTGTAACCGAGCCAAACTCTTTTAACGGTTCGCCAAGTCTTCTCTGCAGTTTACCCTCTCGATCCCCTTTCCCGTCGGTGCATCGAAGAGGCAGCTCGTGCGAAGAAACGATAGAAAGTCCAAGAGGCTGGAACTTTCCTATCAAAAGGGGTAACTCGAAAGAACCGATACCGGAGTAAGAGGCCAACTTCTTCGTTCTTCGCCCTCCTCTCTTCCTCGAGAGAATCCTTGCCGCGATTAACTACAGTTTTCATTGGCGAATACGTCTGGAATGAACGAACCTCGTATTTAAGTGAACTTTGTTTTTCGACCGCGACGACGCGCCTCCTTCTCTCCGGAAAACTTGGTTCCAGGATTAGAAGGTTGCGAAGGATTCGGTTGACTTCAAATTTGATTAGTTCGTAATTAGCTGTTCCGTTCTATGCTTCTCCTTCTATTTCAGAAGAAGATCTTTCCTCTTTTTCTTCTCTTCTTCTCTTTTTCTTCCTTCGAAGGATGGAAAACATTGTCCGAGATGCTAGGAATTATCGATTAACGGAGCTTCTCCGGTTTCTTTTACTCCCGTGGAATTCAAAACCAATTAGGACTAGCTATATCTAACTATTGTAAATAGACGATCGAAAAAATTTTAATACTAATTTAATTCGAAGAACAGGCTATTGTTGAATATTTCGTAGCCACGAAAGTTTTGAAAACTTGCCCGATTTGAGGGATCGTAGCGAGTGTTGGGCGATGCCTAGTTGATAGAAAATCGCGTTTTCGGTGGCCTCTTTCGAACGAGACTTCTCAGGCCGGTAAAGAAACTTCGTTAAAGAGGGACGTTAATTGCATTCAAAACGTTTCCGCTCGCAGATTGTCACAGCGGTCGCGATAGTTCGCAGACTGGCGTCGTTTAATTACAACTTGCCGAAGAATATACCGTTGAACTGCGGCTACGTGACGGAAGTTACAATTTTACAAGTCATTCGCCGAGATAGATTCTCAAAAACTTGCCCGATAATTACGAATCTTGCAATATTATCAACGCTTCGCAAATTTCCATTCTATATTTATCTCGCGCTGGATGAAATTCAGAAGTACCATGTAACTATAAACTTGATAACTCAATCCTCCATGGACAATCTGGATTGCTAAGAATCGAGGAGAAATTCTATTATTGAGTTAAGAGATTGATTAAAGAGATTATATTTTACTTAACTATCATTTATACGCTAAATCAGAGACTTCGATAAATATCTCAGAATTTTTTTTCATAAATCAACATCATCTAAATAAAAATTAAAAAATTTATGATCTACTATCAAAGTATCGTACGTAAATTATAAATTACCTAAATGTACCACATTCATGATACATAACTTGAGGAGAGCTTTGGTCTAGAATAACAAATAATTAGATCCAGAAATAAAAAAAAAATTAAATTATCCGCAAAGAGAATTTAAAAATTCTCAATTCGCAATAAAAAATCATCGTCTAAGAGATATGAATTTATTTATTACAAAAGTGTAACTAATCTTATCAAGAGCCTTTCGCCTTCGAAGATCGCTAACAATCACGTGAATCCATCGTAAAGTGGCGTCGATATTCCGAACCATTCGAAATCAAAGCGATCTTTCTTTCTTTCTTTTTTTTTTTTTTTTTCACCAACAGAAATTCTTGGATCGTATAATTACCTTTGAGTCGAGACTTTGATCGTAAGGCGTCACGGCACGATCGCTCCGTCGTCCGGGAAAGATAGTGCGCCGGTAAAGGAAGGCAATTTGCAAGCAATCAGCGTAGGACGTAGTTAAAAGCGAGGAGATCCGTACTGGGACTTGTTCGCCAACCTATGTCAGCCGACTCGCTTCGAACAGGAAAAGATCTCTCCATCCAAGGACGCGCCGATTTTTCTTCTTCTTCAACTTTCCATCACCCCCTCGACACCTCGTTCGAATCTTCTTCCACCTTTTCCCTTCGTGCTCGGTTAGATCGTGAGTTTTCGATCCACGTGTCCATACGTGATAAAAATTTTAATTCAAATTAGCGAGGATAGATTAAAAATCTCGAGATTTTGTGACGTATGGTCGGTTGCCACGTTATTATTTAAAGTTTCTAAATGCGAATCATGTTTAGGAGGAATCTTGTATCTCGATGTTTTGCGAACATTGCAATTAGGGGCTGTTCTTTAGGGGCTGAATGATATACTGATATTGCTTGTGCGTTTAATAGTTATTAGGTATAATGGACGTGGTATAATGGTGGTATTCGTGAAACAGACCATTAATCAGCGAAAGAAGAATAATTGTGTTTCAGATAATCATAGTCGTAGCTCCAGTTCGTGATTCTTCGATTCGAACGAATTTGATTTTAAAATTATAGAATTGAAGATGTATAATAATATAAAAAAACAAGAGTCTTTTTACGAGTTGAATTATGACCGGTATCCAAAGGATTTTTAATCGCCAGTCGATCGACGGGTTGAAAATTGAAATATAGAATAATCCAATAAAACGATCAACGCTTTATGATGAGCGATTTCCCACTCTTAATTAAAATACAAATGAAAGAGATCTCCCTTTTTCTCCCAACGAATTAACGTCGGTTCGCAGGCGTTTAATAGCACGCGTGTATGAATATGTAAATTGGTTCCACACGTGCACCCAGATCGATACCATGGACCGGTTCGGCGTTGCTCGAATGTTAAGCAAGTTTGCGGACACTTTGGTCGGCCCTTCCCCGTCCACTCGATAAGTTAATTTAATTGCGAGTTTCGCGAAGTAGGAGGGCCAAGCTGGCAACCTCCCTAAATCATTCGTTTAGCGTGCTTAATTCCACCCCCTCGGCTTTTAAAAGTGCTGGTCACATCCCCTTGCCTATTTTCAACTCGGCCAACCTTCTCGCTAACACTCTTCTATCTCGATCCCAAGGTACTTGGCACTTTCGTCACACTTCTCGCAGGTACTCGCGAAATCCAATCGTTCCCGCGGAATACTAAGCGCCATTTGGCAACCCGACCACCTCTCAAAGCCGTCCAACTTTTTCTTCCTTTTTCCATTTGGGAAACGACCACTCTCCCCCCCCCCCCTTCGCCCCTGTGTTTCAATCATCTCTTTCTTCGACACGGTCCAGTCGTCCTCCCTCCGTTCCACGGATGGAATATTTTATTTGCACTGGTCGAAAAGATTGACCGTTCTCGTTGCTCCTTTCCTCCCTCCCACCCCATTATTGATTCGAAAAGTTGGCTTGTGAAATTTAAATAGCCCGTCAGGGCACGTCGAACGTTTTATTCCTCGAATGCTTTGTCGTCCACGCCCCGACTTCGCTCGGTCACTTTAAAACTTTCATTCTCTATCAATTTTAATATTCTATGCGGAACGGTCCTCGGTCGGGAAAGGAATCTTCGACAACGACGGTTTATTTTATGCAGGGAGGCTTGCTTTTTATGCAAGTGGTTCGATTTACACGAAGTGGAAATCGGGATGGGAGTGGATTCGGAGCCTTCGAAAAAAGGAAGTTCTGGAAAAGAGAAAGGAATCGATGTCGATGTCGGATATAAAAAGGATTAAAGAAGGAGGATTAAATTTTGCGAGTATATATCAATCGTGCCTTTAATCGCGTCATTTTCGTATTTTCACGCTCGATAACACGTTGATAGAAATAGTCGATGGAAAGGATTGCTTTTATGCTGTTTTAAAATTGAAAAAAAAAAAAATAACAAGTTGAATACAAAAACACGAGAAGTTAACGAAACACACTTGGCGCATAATAAAACGCGCATTTCTCCTCTCCATCAGAGATTTATAAAGTGTGCTAAGCGTAACCAACCTATCCCACTGTTTCCCGGGTTAAAAGTTAAATGGATGTAAGCAGATTCAACGACCACCCCCGTCGATCTGAGAGAACAGGGATTAAACGCT